ATCTTAATTCCAGCTTGTGCTTCATCCAGCCCAGCGTTTCTCATGATGTACTCTGCATATAAGTTAAATGAGCAGGATGACAATATACAGCCTTGACGTACTCCTTTTCCAATATGGAACCAGTCTGTTGTTCCATGTCCAGTTCTAACTGTTGCTTCCTGACCTGCATACAGGTTTCTCAAGAGGCAGGTCAGGTGGTCTGGTATTCCCATCTCCTTCAGAATTTTCCACAGTTTATTGTGATCCACACAGTCAAAGGCTTTGGTGTAGTCAATAAAGCAGAAATAGATATTTTTCTGGAACTCTCTTGGTTTTTCGATGATCCAGCAGATATTGGCAATTTGATCTCTGGTTCCTCTGCCTTTTCTAAAACCATCTTGAACATCTGAAAGTTCTTGGTTCATGTATTGCTGAAGCCTGGCTTGGAGAATTTTGGGCATTACTTTACTAGCGTGTGAGATGAGTGCAATTGTGCGGTAGTTTGAGCATTCTTTGGGATTGCCTTTCTTAGGGATACTGATAAAAAGTCAACTGTAATTCTTACTGTCATTCCCCTATATGTAATGTCTTCCTCCCCTCCCCCAACTTAAGATTTTCTCTTTGTTTTTTAGCAGTTTTACTATGATGTGGCTAGGTGTGGTTTTCTTCATATTTATCTTGCTTCAATTCACTGGGTTTTGTGGGTTTGATATGTTTGTCAAATTTTGGAAAACTTTAGGCAGTATTTCTTCAAATAATTTTTCTGTCCAATTCTCTTTTTTCTCTTCTGTCAAATTCCTATTCCATGTATATTTGACTGCCTGATGCCTGTTCCTCAGGTATTGAGACTCTTCATCCCCCACCCCATCCCCTGACCTAGGCTTCAGCCTGGTTGACTCTGTTGTCTTTTCTTCAAGTTCACAGATCTTTTGTTGTGTCCAAACTGCTATAAATTCCATTCAATAATTAAAAGCATTTTGTTTAAGATATTGTGTTTTTCAGTTCTAGGATGCCATTTAGTTCTTTTTATTTATTTATTTATTTTAACAGTATCTCTAGATTTATTTTTCCAAAATAGGAGCATTTCAATACTATTAATACTAAAGGTGCCAATTTACTTACACATTTTTTTTAGTATGCAGCTTTGCACAAAAACTTGTACAAAATGATATGAATCAATCAAGCTAAACAGATCACAATCACTTACATATAATACTTACTTTAAATCAGTGTTGATGTTCAATGGTAGGACTTCCCTTTCTTGACCATTGACATTTACTTTCCCTCAGGATTCATTGGAGATAAGGACTGTATATTTTCTCTGTGTTCAGTATGTTTACTTCTTATTGTAGGTCTTTACTTCTTATTGTAGGTCCTTAACATTATATGTATATTTGATTTGAAGCATCTTCAATATGTTTAGATATGAAAACCCATTTTACTCTAAAATAATTGCTCAGGAAAGGTTCTTCCTCTTTATATAAAGCTGTGGGCATTTTCTCCATACAAGTAATAAACCTCAGTGGAAATCTCTTGGCAAGAAACATGATAGAAATTCCCTAGTGGGTATACTACTTTCTTTCTTCTTGCCATAGTACATTTAGTTCTTTTTAAAGATTTTCCTTCTTACTCTTGAAATCTCCTCTCTCTTCACTGATTATATCTACCTTTTCCTATAGATTTTTTTTAACATATTTATACTTAAAAAGAAATAATACTGAACCCATCCTTTTCCTCCTAGGATAAGTGTCTTGTTAAGTGGTGGTAAAAAACAAACAAACAAAAAAAAACTTATAACAAAATATCTGTTATTAAGTTGCTGTATATCTTCTTTGGTGAGATATATGTTCAGATTTTTTGCCATTTTAAAAATTGGGTTGTTATTTTTGTTGTTGAGTTTTAAGTATTCTTTGAATATTTTGGATACAAGTCCCTTTTCAGATATACATATTGCAAATATTTTCTCCCAGTCTGTGGCTTGTCTTTTCATTCTCTTAACAATATCTTTTTTTTTCTTAACAATATCTTTTGCAGAGCAGAAATTTTTCATTTTAATGAAGGCTGGCTTATCATTTTTTTCTTCTGTGGGTCATGGTGGTGTGTTAAAAGACTAATTACTAAATTCCAGATCACCTAGGTTTTCTCTTGTGTTATCTTCTAGAAATTTTATAGTTTTAGTTAATTTTTGTGAAAGATGTGAGATCAGTGCCTATATCTATTTGTTTTTTGAATGTAAATATCCAATTGTTCCCAGCACCACTTATTGAAAAAACTATCTTTTCTCCATCAAATTGCCTTTGCTCCTTTGTCAAGGATCAGTTGATTGTATTTGTACAGTCTGTTTGGAGGCTGTCTATTCTATTTGTCTAGTCTATTTGATATATTTGTTATTTCACTAATACCACACTCTCCTGATTATTGTAGCTTTGTAGTAAGTCTTAAAATTAGACAGTATCAGTTCTCTGACTTTGTTTCTCTTCTTCAGTATCATATTGGCTATTCAGGTCTTTTATCATAAATGGGTGTTGGATTTATTACTGATTCATTTTCTAAAAGATATGGGCCCTTGACACATTTTAAATTGGGTTATTTGTCTTTTTATTGGGACTTCCCTAGTAGCTCAGTTGGTAAAGAATCTGCCTGCAGTGCAAGAGACCTGGGTTTGATCTTTTTATTGTTGTGCTATAGAAGTTCTTTATTATTTCAATACAAATACTTTGTCAGATACAAATTTGCAAATATTTCCCCCATTTTGTGGGTTGTCTTTTCACTTTCTTGATGATATCGTTTGAAGAACAAAATCTTTAAATTTTTACAAGGTCTAATATATCTATTTTCTTTTTTTGTTGGTTGTGTTTTTGGTGTCACATCTAAGAAAACATTTTTTAACCCAAGGCAGCAAAAATTTACTCCTATGTTTTCTTGTAAGGTTATTACATTTAAGTCTCTGATCGATTTTGAGTTCACTTTTTGTATATAGTGTGAGGTAGAAGTCCATCTTCATTCTTTTACATGTGAGTATTTAGTTGTCTCAATATACATTTATACTTTTTAAAGTCTTTGCTAATTGTAACATCTAAGTCAAATACAGATCTGTTTCTATTGACTAGTTTTTCTCTTAACCATGGAGTATATTTTCCTGTTTCTTCATATATATATATATATACACCTTTTTTGTTTGTTGGAATTTTTATGTATACTTCATCATAGGAATTCCAGATCTGTGTTGTCTTCTTGTGAAAAATGTTATTTTTATTCTAGCAGGCAGTTAACTTCTGACAGATCATCTCGATCTTGTGGTAGTTAAGTTTTACATTTTCTTGGGGCAGGTGTATTTCAGTTTTACTCTTAATCCTAGAGCTAATCTCTTAAATCCTAGGTTGTAATTTTTATTCCTGAAGTATGACCTTTTAGATGTTCTGCTGGAAATTCCCAAATGTTTACCAACCTCCTCTAATTAGGCAAAACTTGAACTCCAAACTCTGTTTCTCCTGTAGTGGGCAGAAACTGAATCTCTGCTCAACTCTCCACTTCCTAGCTATATTTTACTCAGCCACCTTGTAATAGTACCTGATTCTGTACAATTCAGGAGCCAGCTGAGAAATTGAAAGGAATTTATATGTGAGTTTGGTTTATGACTTATGTTTCCCTCTTACTGAGGATTTTTCTTTTCAATTTCCAGCATCTTTGACAGTCTAAAACTCTTATTTTCCACTTCCTCAGGCAAATTTGGCTATGGGTTTCTTCTGGAGTTCTGTCTGCCCCATGATTTGCTGGCCGGGTGGTTTCTTTAGCTGCATCCATGTGGATTTACTCTGTGTGGTCCCCACATTTCAAGAGTTGGATCCTTTCCAGGTTCCGCCAGCTTTTGATCGCTTTTATAGCCTTCAGACAGTTATTTTAAAATATTTTGTTTCGGGAATTCCCTGGCAGCCGAGTGGTTAGGACTTTGTGCTTTTGATGCTGAGGGTGTGGGTTCGGTCTCTGGTCAGGGAACTAAGATTTCCCACATGCCACATGGTGTGGCCAAAGATAAATAGAATAAAATAAAACATTTTGGTCTGAGTTTATTATCATTATTGGCAAGAGGATTAGTCCAATACAAACTACCCCACGGTTTCAAAAAACAGGAGGAACAGACTAAGGACTTGGGACTTTATTCTGCAGGCTGGAAGATTTTAAATGGAAGGTTAGTAGGATGAGTTCATGCTTTGTGGGGGATTAGTGTGGGGATAGTTTGTAAGATGGATTGGTAAGAGGAAAGTCAAGGGGCAGGGAAGTAGTTAGGAGACTCTTAACGGTAGTTGAAGAGAGCAGGAGTGGGGGCGGGGAGGGGGAAACCAAGGCTTCAACTGGGGAAGAGAAACAGTAGAAATGGAAAAGGATGGTCACATGGGGGAGATTAAAAGACAAGGTCCGGTTTCTGTGAGGGCTTTCCCACATGAGAGAGTTTTTTGTTTGCTTGTTTTGCTGTACCTCAGCATGTGGAATCTTAGTTCCCGACCAGGGATCTAACCTGTGCCCCCTGTGGTGGAGGCTCTGAGTCCTAACCACTGGACCACCAGGAAAGTCCTCAGAAGTGTTTTTAAGTGACCAGTGAGGATTACCATTATTCTATCTCAGAGAATATGGCCAGGTTAAAGTTCATCCCAGAGTATGTCTCTGTGGAAGCTCAGAAACTTTATTCACCTGATGTTAGTCCTGGCAAAATGACCTGACTGAATCCTGAGTCACTGCTGGTCTTCAGGTCTCACTGGCTCACCTGAGGGCTAGTGAAGGCCACCTAAAGTCTACTTTGAGCTTGAGCCTGGGTAAGTTGTGGAAATGGCCTATTTGCTTGCAGTCCCAGGATCTGGAGTGTAAGTGGACTAACCTGGGGAAGGATAGGAGAAGGGATGACCAGAGTAGGCCAGGCTGCCTGGACCCATCCCAACATCTGCTGTTGGAGCCTGTTCTCTTGAAGCTGGCAACCATTGATCTTTGACCTTTTCTGCTAGCTTTGTTGCTTTTTCTTTCAACAGGTCAAATGGATGATGTACTGGATTATATTTGCACTATTCACCACAGCAGAGACATTCACTGACATCTTCCTTTGTTGGTAAGTACTCCAGGAATTGGGACTTTTCCAGGAAAGATGTTGCCTAGTCTCAAGGGAGAGGTGGAAAAGGTCTGACAACAGTCTTAAACCTAATCAGCAGAGAAGCAGGTGCAAGGATGTTCACTGGAACATTTCAAATCAACTAGTCTATGAAGTTGTTCTTCAAGTAAATATTTATTGAATGCCCTTATCAGAGCAGGTATTGTTCTTATAATGATGGGCAAGATAAACAAAATTCTTCAATTAATGGAGTTGGCAAAGAAGCATTCATATGTTAAAAAATTAAAAGGAAAATAAGAAACAATACACAAAAGTGTGCAATAAAACTAAATTTCTCCCCGGCACCATTCACTCTCACCATTACTGCTTTTCACAGTTGTATACAATTTCTAAAAATGTGTGCGTGTGTATATGCACACACACTTTTGTTGTTGTTCAGTTCCTAAGTTGGGTCCGACTCTTGGCGACTCCATGGACTATAGCACACTTGTCCTATCTCTCAGAGTTTGCTCAAATTTATGTTCACTGTGTTGATAATGCCATGTTCACTGTGTTGATAATGCCATCCAACCATCTCATCCTCTGCCATCCCCTTCTACTTTTGCCTTAAATCTTTCCCAGCATCAGGGTCTTTTCCAATGAATTGGCTCTTCACATCAGGTAGCCAGAATATTGGAGCTTCAGCAAAAGTCCTTCCAATGAATATTCAGGGGTACACACATATACACATACTTTTCCTTTTTTTAAGGATGTACCAAATGCTTTGGACTTCCCTGGTAGCTCAGACAATAAAGAGTCTGCCTGCAATGCAGGAGACCTGGGTTCGATCCCTGGGTTGGGAAGATCCCCTGGAGGAGGGCATGGGAACCCACTCCAGTACTCTTGCCTGGAGAATCCCATGGACAGAGGAGCCTGGTGGGCTGCAGTCCATGGGGTCACAAAGAGTGGGACATGACTGAGCGACTAAGCACAACATACAGCACTGTATGCTTCAGCATCATACAAACCGAGAACTTCCAGATGTCTAAACTGGGTTAGAAAAGGAAGAGGAGCTAGAGATCAAACTGCCAACATTCACTGGATTATAGAGAAAGCAAGGGAATTTCAGAAAATCATCTATCTCTGTTTCATTGACTATGCTAAAGCCTTCCACTCTGTGGATCATGACAAACTGTGGAAAGCTCCTAGAGAGATGGGAATACCAGACCATCTTACCTGTCTCTTGAGAAATCTGTATTCGGGTCAAGAAGCAACAGTTAGAACCCTGTCTGGAACAAGTGATTGGTTCAAGATCGAGAAACTAGTACAACAGAGCTGTCTACTGTCACCCTGTTTGTTTAACCTGTACACTGAGCACATCATGAGAAATGCTTGACTGGATGAGTTACAAGATGGAATCAAGATAGGCAGGAGAAACAACAAACTCAGATATGCAGATGATATCTCTCTAATGGCGGTAAGTGAAGAGGAACTAAAGAGCACTTTGATGAGGGTGAAGGAGTAGAGTGAAAGAGCTGGCTTAAGACTAAATATTAAAAAAACTAAGATCATGGCATCCGGCCCCATTACTGTATGGCAAATAGAAGGGGGAAAGGTGAAACTAGTGACAGATTTCCTTTCCTTGGGCTCCAGAATCACTGCAGATGGTGACTGCAGCCATGAAATCAGAAGATGATTGCTTCTTGGCAGGAAAATGATGAGAAACCTAGACAGTGTGTTGGAAAACAGAGACATCACTCTGCCAACAAAGGTCCATATAGTCAAGGCTATGGTCTTCCCAGTGGTCATGTGTGGTTGTGAGAGTTGGACTGTAAAGAAGGCAGAACACCAAAGAATTGATGCCTTCAAACTGTGGTGCTGGAGAAGACCCTTGAAAGTTCCTTGGACAGCAAGGAGATCAAACTAGTCAATGTTAAGGGAGATCTATCCTGAATATTCACTGGACGGATTGATGCTGAAGCTGAAGCTCCAGTATTTTGGTCATCTGATGTGAACAGATGCTTATTGGAAAAGTCCCTGATGCTGGGAAAGGTTGAGAGCCAAAGGAGAAGAGGGCATCAGAGGATGAGATGGCTGGACGGCATCATCGATGCAATTTACATAAACTTGAGCAAACTCTGGGAGATGGTGAGGGACAGGGAGACTTGGCGTGCTGCAGTTCATGGGGCCTTGAAGAGCTGGACATGACTGGGAGACTGAACAACAACTATAGTATACCTAATAGGTCTTACTTTGTTTTTTAAATTATTTTTTTAAATACTTTCATGAAAGCATAAACAGATCTACTTACTTTTTTTAAAAGGCCACATAGAATTTCATGCGGAGAAGGCAGTAGCACCCCACTCCAGTACTCTTGCCTGGAAAATCCCATGGACGGAGGAGCGTGGTAGGCTGCGGTCCATGGGGTCACAAAAAGTCGGACACGATTGAGCGACTTCACTTTCACTTTTCACTTTCATGCACTGGAGAAGGAAATGGCAACCCACTCCAGTGTTCTTGCCTGGAGAATCTCAGGGATGGGGGAGCCTGGTGGGCTGCCATCTATGGGGTCGCACAGAGTCGGACACGACTGAAGCGACTTAGCAGCAGCAGCAGCAGAATTTCATGGTATAGATGGACTGTTATTTATTTAATCTATTCCCTTTTGATGGACAGCTTTTTTTCTCTTATGACCAGTACAGTTATAGCAGTGAATCAAGTGAAAATCATAAGCTATGTGTTTGTACTGATATATTGTGTCTTAGCTAAAAGAGGTTGTAAATAATATATAGCATCCTGTTTATACCTGAAGCGTCTGAGTTTATGCACATGTGAATGTATACTAAAATAGTGTGGAAAATATTCATCACTTAACTAGGGTTATTTCTGCAATTTTGGATCATGAGGTCAGTTTCACATTTGCTGTGTTTTATGCATGTTTTACCATGGTCAAATATCATCAGAAAAAATAATAAGGATATTTCCATTTTGGAGAAGAAAGTTCTCATCCAAAAAAGGATTCGTCTGGACTTACCCTTTGGGGTGTCCTGGGTCAAAGACATCCACTTCTCTGAACACTACTTCACTGACTCCTGTCTTGGCTCAGAGTGTATGTAGTTTTTCCACTGAAGGAGCCTGGCTTTCATCTCCACTGGGAGAGATAGATGTCTCAGCTATTATGACCTCAAGCTGGAAGGAAGGAATCTGGATTACCTAATTTAATATGCTTATGCCATCCTGCCCTGTTCTGTGCCCAGGTAAACAACAGACTGGAGATGGGATGAGTCTCTAGGAGTGGAGACAGACAGAACTCTGCTGAGCCATTTTTTTTTCCTTCCCCAGGCCCCATGGGCTGGCACTAGGAGGCAAACCGCATTTTAATCAGAGCTTCAGTGGGGAGGCTCCTGTCTGTCTTGTGGAGATGAGAATAGCCTGGACCTAGTGAGGACTGTGTAATCGCTTAAGGATCATAGCCACCATATGACCCAGCAGTCCCGTTACTGCGCATATACTCTGAGAAAATCACAATTCAAAAAGACACATGTTACCCCAGTGTTCACTGCAACACTATTTACAGTAGCTAGGGTATGGAAACAACCTACATGTCCATCAACAGATGAATGGATAAAGCAGTTGTGGTATATATATACAATGGAATATTACTCAGCCATAAAAAATGAATTTGAGTCAATTCTAGTGAGGTGGATAAACCTAGAGCCTTTTATACAGAGTGAAGTAAGTCAGAAAGAGGAAAACAAATATAGTATATTAAAGCATATATATGGAATCTAGAAAGATGGTACTGATGAACCTAATTGCAGGGAAGGAATGGAGACACAGATGTAGAGAATAGACTTGTGGACACAGTGGGGGAACGAGAGGGTGGGATGAATTCATAGAGTAGCATTGACATATGTACACTATCATGTGTAAAGCCAATAGCTAGTGGGAAGGTGCTAATACATTAATAACACAGGGAGCCAGTCCAGCCTGGTGCTCTGTGATGAACTAGAGGGGTGGAATGGGGGCAGGAAGGGAGGCCCAAGAGGAAGTGGATATAAATATGTAGTTATGACTGATTTGCAGTGTTGTACAGCAGAACCAGTGCAACACTGTAAAGCAATTGTCCTGCAATTTAAAAAAAGAGAGAGAGAGCATGGCCAGCGCTTCTTGTGGTCCAGTCTTCTGTCTTAATGCCCTCCTTTTGGCTGGCACTGGTGGCCTCCCTCTGTCCTCTCATCCTTTATTATGAACACTAGGGGGAAGAATGTTAGTCTCATGAGCTCTTTCCTGGGGGTCCTGGCATTTCAACCACTTTGCTGGGTGGAAATCCTACCTAATGATGGATGTGCTGCTCCCTAATAGCTGGGATATGTTTAACCCATGGTCCTGGAATTTTAGTCTCATGCCTAATAAGTAGACTTCCCAGGTGGCACTAGTGGTAAAGAATCTGCCTGCCAATGCAGGAGACGTAAAGAGACTCAGGTTCAATCCCTGGGTCAGGAAGATGCCCTGGAGGAGGGCATGGCAACGCAGGTATCAACAACTATTTCTGGGGTTGATTTAATTTTGATTTGGGGGAGGTGTATTACTTTTCTATTACTGCCATAACAGATTACTAAAAATTTAGCATCCTTAAACAGTACAAATTTATAATTTCACAGTTTCTATGAATTAGAAGTTCAAGTAGAGTCAACTGGTCCTCTGCTGAGAAGCTCACGAGACCAAAACCAGGGTGTGGGTCAGTCCAGGCTCTTACCTGGAGGCTCTGGGGAGATTCCAGTTCCAGGTTCATTCAGGTTGTTGGCAGAGTCAATTCCTTGGGGCTGTAGGACTGAGGTCCCCACTCCCTTGACATGTGACATCCTGTCATCTTCAAGCCAACAATGGCATGTCATTTCTGTCCTCTTCTGTTACCAGCCAGAGAATGGTCTCCGCCTTTTTGTTTAAGTTATTATGTAATTAGATTAAGCCCACCCCAATAATCCAATATAATCTCCCTATCTTGTTGACTTGAACCT